TTATCTATTTAACCCTCTCAGGCTCAAAATAAGTTTTGATAAAAGGACGAACAACTAAGTCCTTCAGGGGTTCTCATGAAATACATATGTGGAGTAACCAGGTAAGTAGGTTTTAACGTTGCAAATCTGCAACGCCTGCCTCCAGAGGGTTAAATATCGACCTGATATATTGGTCTATTTGGATATGCTTATCACCGATCAGATAAATGAAACTCATCTAGAATGAAAACCAGAATTCATTTTTTCATACAAACTAAAACCTAACTGCAGCAAAAGGAAGTCATGGATCACAGAGGAAAACCAACCAGCAGCATGTCTGTGACCCTGAAACCCTAAAAGTCTCACGCCTGCACGGTTTGTGTGTACACAGCTGACGAGCTCCACTCCCAAAGTACAGCTGTGAGCTTGTGGAGCTTTCATATGAAGTTGCTTTGAGTCTAAACATAAAATCATTAAGCAAAGAACTATAAAAGACAGAAAAACAACACTACAAGATATAAACCTTACAATCTGGTGATATGTAGGTCAATGACAGCGGTTCCGTGCACTCATTTAAACGTTGTTATGACGGTAAATAATTCAAACGGAGTATCCCAGATACCTTGGTGGTGGCCGGGGGAGGAATGGACCGAAGCGGTGGGGGTCCCTGAGGGAGGCTGGTCCACATCTCCACTGCTTTGTGCCCCCCCACTGTAGGACTCATAGCTGCCAGGGGCCGGAGGGCTTTGGTCGTAGTACGGGTGGATGTTGTTTTGGACTCCAGCTAATCAGAAAAATGGTAAGAGGAAGAGGCAAGACACTTTCAAGATCTGAATTTACATAAATTAGGAGCGAAGTTACTCTGGAAATAAAACTGGAAAGAAAGTAAAAAACAGAAAGGACAGTCATTTGAATTATAATCAAAGTAGACAACCTTCTGTATTATTAAAATGGGCATTTTAGGTTGTATATATATATATATATATATATATATATGTTTTTTGTTTGTTTGTTTGTTTAAAGGAGCCTAGTAGCAACAGTATAACCCAAAGGAAAGAATGACGTAATTTGTTACACATTTTGAAAACTGAACAAAAACAGAAATTTCCATTTCCACATCCAAAACCCATTACATCACAGAGAGTACACCACACCATTCCAATTACATCTGGTTGTTATTTAGGCATGACCCGGTAGCTCCACTCACCTGTGCTTCCTTTCCCATTGACTGTCGCCGTAATCTGTGCATGTGCGCTCGTGTTATACCTGGGCTGTAGAGCCGTAGAGGAAGGCGGAGGTGTTGAGCTGTACTGATGTAAAGGTGCTCCCACCTGGGTGGTCATGGCCCCAGGTGTGGAGGGGCTTTGAGACGAACTGAGGGTCCCATGCTGACTGCTGCCAGGAGCAGACAGATATGAAACGTTTGGGTGGATGGGAGCTGGTGCTAAGGCCAGACTGGAATGCTGCTGCTGATGAAGCTGTGCTGGGGGGGCTTGGTATGACTGCTGACCATAGTAGGAACCTGGAGGGGCAAAGGGCGGCTGTTGCTGCTGGAATGGCTGCTGTATGTACTGGGCATTAGAAGATGGGGGTGCCGAAGATGGGATGGAGGCATAAGGTTGAGAAGGAGGGCCTGTGCTGTAAGAAGGTGCTACATGATGTTGTGGGAGGTGCTGCTGCTGCTGCTGTTGATGGTTATTCCAGTAGTAGTCGATACTGTGGGCACTGTTTGTGATTGCTTTGCTGGGAGCTGAAATGTTCTGACCAGGGATAGTGGGGTAGCTTTGGTGCTGAGGAGGGGCACTGTAGTAGCCTGTGGGTGGGTACATGGATGGGTAGTTCTGTAGTGGACCTGAACAGGAGACAGAATGTCAAACAGTAACATTATTGACATTAATAAAGTTCAGAATGATAAAAAATAAGAAAACAGATAAGACTGGAGCAGCCCACTGATTTTTCAATTACAGCTGGTTTCCACCTGCAGTGCAGCTCTCTCTAGGTCCAGCTGAGAAGGGAGGTTAAAAACATCTCGTTTCAGACGAACAGAAAAGCATGTTTGCAGTTAAAGCAATACTACCTACATTCTGTCCATTTCATTAAAGCTTAATCTACCTGTCAAATGTGTCTGTTGGATTTCCACGAATAAAATCATCCACATCCAACCGGTTTTTCTGATTTTAAAAGTGTTTGATTTATTAGAAAGTTCATTTTTATTCACTGTGTCTAAAAAACATTATAAATCGGCTACATCTGGAGAACTAAACCACATTTATCAAAAGTGCTGATTTCGTGCAGCCTGTGTACTGTGTGTATTTTTGTATCTATGAAAACCCAGAATCATTTATTCACGTTGCTGTTCTGCAAAATGCCCAATAAACTGAATAAATCAGAACTCTGGGGTGCTTTTATAAAATCCTGAAAAAATAAATGAAGACAATAAAAAGTGTCTGGTGACTGAAACTGATTCCTGCTGATAACAAATTTGTGAAAGTTTTTACTCCCAGAACTTCGACATGAGTAGTGGGTAAAATCGGTATCAGCAGGTCAGAGATGAACAAGAATCAGAAATTGGTGCTGGCCATCAAATCCGGAAGAGTATGAAAATAATTTTATTATTATTATTTCCTATAATTTCCATTGTTGATGACTGATATCAGTCGAAAAATATGGCTCAGAACACCCACAGGCTCAGTAACATGCAGAGACCTTGATCTTTTTATACCAAAATATGGATTTAAAACTAAAAGCAGCAGTATTTCTAAATGTATAATGGTCACTGCTAAAATGGATCTGTAACATTCCTCTACAAATATCATCACCAACATCTGCAATATTACCACTATCGTTATTATGTGCAATAATTATCTGGATTATCTTGTTAACAATTATGCTCTCGTGTGATATATTTTGTGACTGCTGCTATCCTCTGTTCTTGAGCTGTTGCAATAATGCAATTTCCCCACCGAGGGACAAATAAAGGTATTCTTGTTGTGTTGTTGGGATTCCGAATATGGAACAATGTAAGGAAATAGCACACATGCAACAAGAGCTAAATACATTTAAAGGAGCCACAGTTTTCTCCTGAAAATCATACTGCAGCTTGTACCCGAGAGTTGGAGCGTATTACTAGTTTAATACGCACTGTTTATACCCCAAAGTTGTTATCAAAAGGTTTAACACTGTCAGTGAAATACTTGTCATGGGTAACGTCACTTATCTCTAGTCTCATGAAGATGCGCAATATGCACTCTACTAGCTAGCACTAGGCTAACTAAACATATGTGTTTCCAGTTATTTCCAGTGTGTTGCGTTAGCTTCTTAGTTAGCGAATGTTAGCCCTGTGCTAGCATTAGCATAAATCCTGACTTTTCCCAAATTTATTCATCGTGTTCTTTCCAATTTTATTCAACGGTGAAAACCAAGAGTCACGCTGGACGAAATGTAAATAAAATAAAATAAATCCCAAGACAATGTCAAAATGTCATCACACGGATAGAATGCTAACGCTAACGGGCTGGCTCGTCCCATCACCCCGGCCTGTGTTACCATTCTGACGGGGTGGCGCAGCTCCACCGTTCGGTGTTGAGTTCGGGTTGTAGCCGGCGGAGCTGTTGAGGTTGGTGTAACCCGGCGCAGACATCGCCCTGTCCTCCCGTCTTTAAGTCCGCAGATAGACGGGCGAATACACATAAACGATCGTCAGTGTCCCCAAACTCTGGTTCGCCTTTGCCTCTTAGGCGAAATGGAGGCTGCTGGTGGTCGGAGACCCGGGCAGCCCGGTAGGTCCGCTCGGCTGAGAGCAGAAGCCTCCAGTCCGGGATGCTGAGCAGCTTAGCGGACACCTGCTTGTGTTCATGTCACTCCCTCTTGCGGCGTTGCTATGCAAGTGTGTATCATCTACTAATTGGTGTTTAATCTGTTTATATGAAATAATTTGTACTTTTAAGACTGTATTTGTCTTATATTTAAATGTTTAGCCGATTTTGACTGATAATACACAAGTATCAGAGTACACAAAGTGTTTCACTGCTGATTTGTTAAATATGTTTTTTAATCTAATTTTCCTTTCATACTTAATTTACTTTATTCCAGATTTGTCTGTTTTGGGGTTATTACAGTTCAAGTGTGACACACAGGTGCATTGCTGCATAGGCAACACCTGCAGCACTTCTAGAGCATTTAACAGTAGGGAAGTAGGGGTAGACCGTTGTTTAAAATTTTTAATATATCCGCACCAGTCCATATTTGTCTTTAGTCAAGCCGAATTAAAGCCAGGCGCATTAAGCATTTATTTGAATTTAATTGAAATGTATTTTTACGTTCACAAACAACATCTGCATGATAAATACTTGAACTTAACTTTATGTGTCTGACTTTAACACTGAGCAGTGCACAAAGTTAAGATTGAACAGTTAGTCAAATTCAGAGATCAAAAACTGATTCAGCTTCAGAAATGTCGGGCATCAACTGATGTTGCTAGTGACATTTTAGCATGAAAATATGGTGAAAAACATCTGGATATAGGCCATGAAAATCAGCCATAAAAATCGGCTGACCATGTCTCCTACATTTCAGCGATAGAAAAACTAATATCGGCCTCCAATGAGAAGCACACGCTGAGTCCTGTGTATCAAAATATTTTGTCTGAGCAAACGACCATATTAAACTGTAGGGGTTTCATAGTGTTTATTCAAGTTCAGAGTTGTGAGCTGAAAAAAAAAACCCAGTGAAAACAATCTGAAACTGTGTTTATAATTACTGATGGTATAACCATATTGACATAATTAAAATGTATACAATTCATCCAGCAGACATGTTCTCACATTATCTCAGTAAAAGATTAAAAGGGGTCACAAATACATTATTCAGATTTCTTTCCTTTAAAATCTGAATTCAGACCTGGAGAAATTGCCCTTCATTTCCTTAATTCACAAGAAAATCAACATTTCTATAGTTCTGGAGTCTAGTCAGTCATGCTGCTTAATATCCTGGGGAATTCTGGCCCGTTTTTCAGTACACTCGCACTCTTCTTTGTGATGTGGGGTGTCGGAGGTCATCTCGCTCTGAGCCTGTCCTTTAGATTGACAAGTTGGACAGCAGGCAGTGTGTCCCTCCTGTCTGCAGCAAGGACAGGACAGCACTAGCTGGCAGCAGAACCGAGTGCTACAGAGCTCATACTGATCCCACGGACAGCCACAGTACCTGCAGTCTGAACACAGACACTCAAATATAAAAACCATTGCTTGAATAATGTTTATTTTTCTGATCTTATTAGCCTTTTAAAAAAAATTTCTAAATTAATTCAGGTTGGTTTATTTAGAAACTGACCTGAAATGATGTCATCATTCGAGGAGATTGTGTAGCGTTCATCAAACACAAAAAGTTTCCCTCGATAGAAACCTTCTGGAAAATGTTCCAGGTACTTGTGGATTCCACCTTTCAGTTGGTAGATCTCTTTACACACATCCTGCAGACAAGTCAGAGGACACACACATTCAACACTAACAAGCATTTCAAGATAAGGCTGCAAAAATGTAAGAAAATCAATCACAAGTGCCATCCTGTGGAGACGAGTGTCCTCCATAGGATGGCCGAGCTCAGCTCTTATGATAGAGACAGGGAGAGGAACACGATGAGGGGAGCCAGCTGAGGTGGTTCAGGCCTTTGGTTAGGATGCCTCCTGTGAAATTCCTGGCTAGAGGCTGACCGATATGGTTTTTTTAATGCCGATGCAGAGTTTTAAAGAATTTTGTTGCTGATGGCTGATATCTAAAGCCGATTATTAAGGCTGATATATGTACGTTTTAACAGCCTAACGATTGTGAAAGCCATCTGAACTGTGTGAAATATTAATTAAATAATCAATAAATCTCTTACTATTTACTGAACTTCAAATATAAAACAAACTCAAAACATTTTTAAAACAATGTGTTGGGGTCCTTTTGGGGTGCCTGACTTATTGTTTTTAATCAGATTTTAAAATTAATTTCGGACAATGGCCGATGTAGAAAAAACTGAATATATCGGCCGGCCTCTACTCCTCGGGTAGATGTTTCAGGCACGTCCCGCTGGCAGGAGGGCCCAGAAAACATCCAGAACATACTGGAGGGATCAGATCTCCGGGCTGGCTCCACAAGAGGAGGGGGTGAAAGTGGCTGCTGCCCCCATGATCCGGACACAGATCGTTGGAAAAAGGCATGCACAAGTTCCTCTGGTGTTAACCTTTAAATCAAATCGGTTCCACAAGAAGCTTTCAAAAAAAGAGAGATTAATAAACCGCATGACGATCTTACTTTTGAGCGAAGGTAGGCAGAGCCACGCTCACAGCGAATCCCTCCGGTGCAGTACATGAGGACCTTCTTGTCCCTGAACAGCTCCAGGTTCTGGTCAACGTAATCCGGGAAATAACTGAATTTACGGATATTTGGGGCCAGGCATTGAGTAAACTGTCCCTGAGGAGAAAATAAAATCTAATTCATGGAATCAATCTGGCTTTATGCCACAAAATATTACACAAACTCCCAAGACCAACGTCTGATTTCACAACCAAAGCAATCACCAGAAACAGTGCTAAAATGACACAAAGCTCTGAATTCAACATCTATTTTAAACAATGCTTCCACAGATGTGAAGTTCTACAGAACAAAGAAGTTTTCATTTCCACGTGAATTGTGGGAGCTGTTGGACCTCGGGGATCTTGTGTAATAAGGCACATGCTGCTGACTAAACGTGTTCCGCAAAGACGCATTTATTTAATTTCTCACAACGATAAGAATCACATCAAACACAATCGGTTTCTGCAGATGAAACACCAAACACCTCAGTGTAGTGTTTTAGTGAAGATCCTGCTTGGCTTAAAAAATAAAATTACTACTCACAATTTTGCTCTCGTAAAAGTTGCGACAGTCCAAGAGGATGGTGTCGTTACACAAATCCCCTTTAGCCAAAGCAGTCTCCACTTCTTTATGAAACTCTTCTGGTTCCAGGTGAACTCCTGAGACGTCAAACAGAAATTAAGCTGGCCCGACAACAAAAACCCACAAAAAACAGCAAAATACAACTAAATTTGGCAGTTCTCCCTATATTAGATCTCACTGTAGCACTTGTTGCACAAACCTGCCATTTGGTAGGAAACAACATCAGGATCCACACCCATTGGGACAATCTCCTTAAAGACCCCGACCTTCAAATGTCTAAAACACTCAGCACCACCATCACTGGTCTGAACAGACACCAACACACAGAAGATTATAAATACTGGCAATAATAATGATTTCAAGACATTTTGAAAGTTTAAATTGGGCTCTCACAGGGAATGAAATGTTAACAACATGCAACATGACTGCTTTTCCTCTAATTCTGACCTTAAAATCCTCTTTCTCCATCTTGAAGAAAGGATGTGAAAGCATTGCATTGATGTAAAGGTCAGTGGCCACGTTGGTACCACCAACTGTCCCGTTGATGCCTTCTGCTGCTACCCTTACCTACAGAAGATGATTGACATTTTAACTACTTAAATGTTTCTTTAAAATCCTCTATTTTCTGATATGATGTGCTAGAGTCTAGCTGAAAGGGTTTTCTTACCTTGCCGGTTAGGTGAAGTGTCTCACACAGAGCTTCCTGCCATGCACAGACAGCATGTGGATCGTCCACTTCACAGTAACAATAATAGAGCAGAACCTTCCCAGGACCACTTCATAAAAACAAGAAATAAACAATCTGCATATGTTGAAATCTGATCAAATCTATAAAGGGGATGGATATAGATATGTATATACTCCATTCTGTTTACTTTTTTAGTTCACCCTCAGGGATGTGGCTGATATCTGGTATCCACATTGAAATGTCCACTGCCTCCGTCTTTTTCCCTTTCAGCTGCTGTGTTTCTGTGTCTTTTTCCAGCTGGCTTAGCAAATGTTCATATGTGGCCTGCGTGAGCTGCTGTATACTAGAATTGTGAGTTTTGGCCACATGTTGGTGAATCTCAGCATGTTCGACGAAGGTCAGGCTACAGCAGCACCAAGATGTGCTTCCTTTTCCTGCACACTCCTTCTTCGATGCTACGAAGGCAGCAAATGACTGTGAAAAGGAAGAAGCACGAATGGCATTTAGTTTAAGTAAATGTGTGCAAAATTCTAAGTTTAATGTGGGATGAAGTTTGTCGCTGCAGGTTATTTTGTTTTTATTTTGATACCTAACATTTGTCAGACATGTAAACAGATAAAATAAATGCTGCATTTACAACTATTTAAATAAACCAGTATTTACATAATATAAGTTCAACTTTATTTATTGAGCGCTTTCACATGCCCAGGAGGACAAACAAAGCGCTGTACACCAATACAAAAACAGCATTCAAATCAGAAATACACAAAAAAGTATACATTATTATTATAACTTAGCTCATCATAAAGCCAACAAACGGTCATTGTTTTTTCCCCACCTTTCTTCTGCAGAAACTGTAGTATCTTCTTTGTGAGGCAGAAAGTTGTCTCTCCTGTTTTAATCCATTACTTGTCGAAAAATCAACATCCAAATTCATGAAGCAGCCGGTTTCAATCGCTTCCATCCTAACGAAGCTGTTAAACACTGCCAGTTAGTCGATTTTTTGTCTAAATTAAATACATTTTAAGACAGTGATCGTGCCTTGCTGTCCTAACATTTATTTGCTGCCATCTTACCAAACATAAACTCTCAAACACGGTGAGGAAAAAAAGGTCACAAACGTGTTTCCGACAATGTCGGACGAAATAGGAGGACGGACTTTTCATTTGACCTCGTGCTGCCCCGGAAGTTCTCCACTTGAATCATACCGCTGTTATTTTTCTGCGGTGGTTGCTGCGTTGCACAGGCTAAATTAACTAAGTATCAGCTAGTTCGTCCGACTTGCTGCTTCGTTTCATATCGGTTTTTTCTTTTGGTTGTCTTGTGTGGATTTTAAAGTGGCCTAATATGTCCCGGAGACGACACAGCGACGAGAATGACGGTAAATCGGCGGAGATTCAGTCACACTTTAGGCTAATAGGCTAACATTAGCGTGTTTTCCTTTCCTTCACCCATGTTGGTTATTTGTTTTGCTAATACACGTGGAGTTTTTGGATAGCTTCCATCAAAATTAAAAAGAGCAAACTCGTTATCAGCTGACATTTGTGCAAAACTAAACAGCGAAGCTGAATGAACAGTGTAAGACAACCGCCAATAACCTATGCTGTTACTGTTAGCTGATTGATGGCTAACTAAACTGATATGGAGGCGGTACCAATGAGTAAAAGATACACAACCTGATAATTGGATAATTTCTGGTAAGTTGTTAAAAGTGTAAAACTGAGTCGGAAATTAATCCTGACACGTCATGTGGTGAGCTAAACTGCTAACAAGCATCATTCTAGAGAAAATATTTGATTTCCAGTGTCTGTCCTATTGATTTTGTTAAAGCAGTGCGTATTCCATTTTTAAACGTTTCTCCCTTTTGCTTGTACAGAAATGTGTTCACAGTTGAACCCATGTATAATATGCAGATGCTGGTAATGGAAAACAAAACATGGAATGAGAAAAATCTTAAATAGTCATGTAACTGCCTAAAAGTATGTGTGAGCTTCAAGTGAATGTTTCAGAAACCTTCCATTGTTGTCAGTTTTATTTAAAGTCCCATTAGTCATCATCGCACACTGGTGAAATTACATCTCTGCATTTGACACATCCTTGTGGGCAGCAGCGAACTGCAGCGATGGCTGCACTTGGGAACTATTTGGTGGTTTAGTCCCCCAATGCAGTCCCTTAAAGCTGAGTGCAGGGAGATATTGGGTCCCATTTTTAAAGTCTTTGGTATGACCCAACCAGATTTGAACCCTGATTTCCTAGTCGCAGGGTGGAGACCCATACCACTAGGCCACTGAGAAGGTTTGTCAAGCAAATAATGTCTCATTGTCAGTATGTCCTCAACAGGTCAAAATAGCAAGGATTAAAAGCCTTGAACTTCACTCTGGAACAGAATAATTGCTAAAGTATTGACATTCTCCTTTTATAATGCTGCTAACAGATTAATTATCTAAAAAGGGGCTCATGTGTTGATGTGAGTTAGGAGAAGAAACTTTCTCATACTCCGTAAACTGTGTTAAAGGAATCAACTTTGATGTGTTGCTCATTCTTTTGCGCAAGTCTTTACGCCTTATCAAGACACTCACACACACACTTGGCCTGTCATCTTCAATAGATAATACTGTTTTGAACATTAGGATTAGATGTTCTTGTCTACTGAACTAGAGTGAGTCTGAACTCGGACACTTGTCTGCCCCCTGATGCCATGCAAGGACACTGGGTTATGGTGTGGCAGTGTCTGTGTCTGGTGACCTTAACAGAGGAATACCTTTATTGGGTTACAATGATGAAGTTGCTAAAAGGCACTGCTTCGATTAAAAAGTGTAAGCTTTTAAACATCAGCTTAATTTCTGTTAATCTAGGTGTTTCTTAGCACAACACAACCTTTATCAAATAAATATGCAAGTGTTTACATGTATTACTCATTTACGCAGATTCTGTTGGTGTTTTCTGTGGTGTCGGTCAGAGTTTATGAACATGTGTTGATTGTGTGACTCTTTTACCCACCAGGAGGTCAAGCTCACAAGAGGAGGAGAACTTCTGAACCTATTGAGATTGAAGATCGTCTGGAATCCCTGATATGTCGTGTTGGGGAGAAAGTAAGAGCAGACAGACAGAGAGATGCTCTGAAATCTCCATCACTTGACTCTGTTGTATTTTGTTATTAACAGAGTACATCATCCCTCGAGAGCAACTTGGAGGGCCTTGCGGGCGTCTTAGAGGCAGATCTTCCAAACTACAAAAACAAAATTCTGCGTATTTTATGTTCTGTGTATGTTTGTATAGGTTATTGCTTTCTGATTAATAAAGAGGCATTCAGAAGGCAGACTTTACTAAAGCACTGTGTGTCAACAGCGCCCGCCTGCTACCTGAGAAGCTTACCGTCTACACAACCTTGGTCGGCCTTCTCAACGCCAGGAACTACAACTTTGGAGGCGAGTTTGTGGAGGCCATGATCAGACAGCTGAAGGAGACCCTGAAAAACAACTTGTACAATGAAGCTGTTTACCTGGTAAAGCTGATTTTCACACAATAAATCTTCACAAAAGGGAGTTTAAAATTCATCATGATGGGTTTATTTTTGGTTTTCAGGTGCGTTTTCTGTCTGACTTGGTCAACTGTCACGTGATTGCTGCTCCTTCTATGGTGGCCATGTTTGAAAACTTTGTGAGTGTTACTCAGGAGGAGGATGTCCCACAGGTAATCAACAGTTTCTGATCAATATGCCTGCTTCTGAGTACTTAAAGATTGTTATAATTGCTTGTACATATTTTATATGAGAACAGTCCTTTGTCTAACGTTTTTATCTTATCTGTTTTTCTTTGGTGTAAAGCTAATTATGTGTCTGTTGCTAATGCCTCTTGCCAGACCCTTGTTGTAAATGAGAATGAGTTCTCAATTGACTCATCTGGTTAAATAAAGATTCAGTAAATAAATAAAGGTAAACGTGAACTTGGGTTATGTCATTCTGATTCAGTTATTTGGGAAACAGATTTGTTCAGAATTGTTTACAGATTACAGTCAAATATATTTCATAAGATTATGACGTGATTTATGATTAATCAACACATTTGGGACTAATGATTCTCATATGGACCTGGCTGCATTACATGTGTGTCTTACGGGGGTGTAACTGGTCTCCTTGTTTCCTCAGGTTCGGTCTGACTGGTTTGTGTACGTTGTTCTGTCCTGTCTGCCCTGGGTTGGTAAGGAGCTTTATGAGAAGAAGGACGTTGAGATGGACCGACTACTCAGCCAGATCGAAGGCTACCTCAAGTGAGACTTCTGCCTTTTTTTTTCTCTATTCTTTACTGTTTTACATTCTCATTATTGAAAGAATGGTTTAATCCAATGAAATAATTTCATTCTACATTTAGCTCTGTAATGCCATTATATTTTCAGGAGAAGAGTCAAGACTCATGTTCCCATGCTGCAGGTTTGGACTGCAGAGAAACCCCACCCACAAGAAGAGGTGAGTCTCCCCTTGTCCATTTCTGATCTGTTGTGTTTCTCACCACAAAGCTTCCGTTTGCAACTATTCCCTCCATGTAGAGCTCTGATCTAATAATTAGTCAGAATAAACAAGGCTACTTATGAAAAATGAGTCCTGAAGTTTTGCCGTTCCTGATCTTGTTGTTTTTTCTTAATTGACTTGAGTTTGTATGCGTTATAACTAATCTGTCCATGTGTTTGTGTTCAGAAAGACAAGCATCAGTTAAACCAGTATATATCACTGGGCTGTGGTTGTTGTTGCCTAAATGTTGGCGTGCGTTTTTAGTTTCTTTTTAGATGTTTCGGGACGACGGTGGCACAGGAGTTAAGTGTTCACCCCGTAATCGGAAGGTTGCAGGTTCGAGCCTCGCTCAGTCTGTCGCTGTCGTTGTGTCCTTGGGCAAGACACTTAACCCCCCTTGCCTGCTGGTGGTGGTCGGAGGGACCGGTGGCACCTGTGCTCGGCAGCCTCGCCTCTGTCAGTGCGCCCCAGGGCAGCTGTGGCTACATCCCCACCAGTGTGTGAATGTGTGTGTGAATGGGTGAATGACTGATTGTGCTGTAAAGCGCCTTGGGGGTTCCAGGACTCTAGAAGGCGCTATATCAAATACAGGCCATTTACCATTTTTGCCATGTCCTTCTCTGAGTTACAGAGTTTCACTTTAGTGTTTCTCCAGTTCCCTCGGGAATCTGGAACCTATGTAGAACTTTTCCCAATTTGGTGACCTTGAGGAAGAAAGTGTGAGAAATGTGGGAAAACATTGAGATGTTTTTAAGACACTTTGTCACACCAAAAATGCACAACAGTTGTCAGTGTTGATGATAATGTTGAACTCAGCAGAGGCAAAACCTGAGTCATACATAGCAGCACAGTTTGTTGAAAATCCCAATATTTCTCATCATTCTGCACCTCCAACAGTTACGTTCCTCAACATTGCATAAATTTTAAAACTGATGCAGAGTCGTCTATGTAACCTAAAAATCCCATCCCCATGATATGCTAGCCTAACTTCACCCAGCTGTTGACCCTCCGCAGAGTAAGAAAACACTTGGAGCCTGCTGCTGTTTCTTCAGAAACCTGCTCTGTGTGTTTTAGTACTTGGACTGCCTTTGGGCTCAGGTCCAGAAGCTGAAGAAGGACCGCTGGCAGGAGCGCCACATCCTTCGTCCGTACATCGCCTTTGACAGTGTCCTCTGTGAGGCCCTGCAGCACAACCTCCCCCCCTTCACTCCACCAGGCCACATGCCTGACGCCCAGTACCCGATGCCCCGCGTCATCTTCAGGATGTTTGACTACACTGATGCCCCAGAGGTCCGTTCGTCTCTTTGTTTCATAACATAATTAGTTCAACTTGTTTGGGTCGGAAACTGGTTAAAAAGCAGCTTTACTCAGTAACCGACTAGTTATACTGTTCCGTACCCCTCTTCTTACTCACATAGTTACATATCTGTTCTCTACAGGGGCCCGTCATGCCCGGCAGCCATTCTGTGGAGAGGTATGTCATAGAAGAAAACCTGCAGTGTATTATCAAAACCCACTGGAAGGAGAGGAAAACATGGTGGGTGGTGAGCCCTATGAAATCATCCTTTCTATAAAACATGAAGGTTACATGTGAGGCGTCTATCTGACCTTCTATTCGTAACCTTCCAGCGCTGCCCAGTTACTCAGTTATCCAGGAAAAAACAAGATCCCTCTCAACTATCACATTGTGGAGGTAAACTTCTTGTTCTTTCACTGGAGCCAAAAGAAAACAACAGTTTGATCAAATAAGAGTTACTGATTTGTTTCAGGTGATTTTTGGAGAGCTTTTCCAGCTGCCTTTGCCTCCTCACATAGACGTCATGTACACCACGCTGCTGATCGAACTCTGCAAACTTCAGCCGGGGTCGCTGCCCCAAGTCGTATCTTTTTATAATGTTACCCGTATCGGGGGGAAGTGTATCGAGTGTTTTTGTGCAGATTATTGAAGGGGACAAAAGGATTCACTCATCTTCTAATGAAAACCAGGTGTGTGTTTTATCATTGTGGCAGATTTAACCTTAACATGAGTGTGATAGTTGGCTCAGGCCACAGAGATGCTCTACATGAGACTGGACACCATGAACACCACCTGTATAGACAGGTAAGGGACTGCATATTTAACAGGATATCCCCTAGAGGTCTGTCAACAGCACTCCAGTCCACACTCATCACTTCCCCTTTGTTATTGAATAGATTTATCAACTGGTTTTCTCATCATTTGAGCAACTTCCAGTTTCGATGGAGCTGGGATGACTGGTGGGTGATTATTTTACAGGCACTTTTATGAAATCAGGAAAAAGGTGTTAATTAAATGTTAAATATGTTTGTGGTTGAAGGTCCGACTGCTTGACCCAGGATCTGGAGATGCCTAAGCCCAAGTTTGTCAAAGAGGTTCTGGAGAAGAGCATGAGGTGATAACAGAGCTGCATTACTGGGGTGGCTTAGATAAGCTGTCAGCAGTCTGATTATACTTGTTTGTTCTTATTCAAGAATATTTCAGTGTGAGACATTCACTCTTGTGTTTCTACTCTTGGACAAGTTTCTTTTAGCTCAGTGTTATTTTATTTTTTATTTTTTGCATCACTTTCAGACTTTCCTACCACCAGAGGATAGTGGACATCGTCCCTGCAACTTTCTCAGCTCTCATTCCCGCTGAACCCCTTTTTTCTTATAAGTACGAGGATGAGAGTTCTGGTAGGAATTCTGATGTTTTATGTTATAAACATTTTAAAGAAACTTTCTGAAAACAGTTTAAGATGTTAGTGTTGTTTCCTTTATAGAATCCTAATAATAAATCAAATCTTTGCTTTCCCACAGCTTCGTTACCAGGTTACCCCGTCTCCATCACCGTTGGAAATGCCATCAAGAACCGAGCGTCCAATGAGGAAATCCTCGCCATTCTCAAGGAAGTCCCCAACCCAAATCAGGAAGACGACGACGGTTTGTTTAACTTTAACTTTACATTGTTTTTCAGAAAATCCTTTAAAGAGGTTCTTCACTCCTATTTTTAATACATTAGCGGTGGTCTCTAGTAGGAATAAATGCCTTGTAAGTTGTACTCTGGGGGAAAAAAAGCTCCGGTGCACCTGTTTCAGAACGGAGAATTAAACCAGAGGAGAAAGTGTTTATGTTTATTTATTTGGCAGACGCTTTTATCCAAAGCGACTTACAATTTATAACCTATAGCAGTGGTTCCTAACCTGGGGGTCCCGACCCCCACAAGGGGGCGCCAAATCCTCTCAGTGGGTCGCCAGGACCTCTCCTTTTTAAGGGGTTAAAACTTCATTTATTACTTGTTTATAGCCTACATTTTGCTCACGTTTTTTTTCATGAGTGAAAAGTTTACTGATATTAAGACAGGAAATAATTAGTACAGAAAAAGTAACACACTTTTAAGAACATTTTGCTCAGCTCACTGTTTTATTTTCAAGTGTCAAAAGTTCACTAAAGATGGGACTGGTTGATTAATCACAGCCTTTACAGTAAATAATCTAGTATAAACAGTAATATACACATTTAAGTACATTTTGCTCAGTGTATTGTGTATGTGTCAAACGTTTATTGAAAGGAATGATTGATTTATCAGTGTTTACAAGAAACAATGTGTTCAGAAAAGTAAAACAAACTGTCAAGCACATTATGCTCTGTTTGGTTTTGTTAATGACTTTGTTCTGTACTGGAGCCTACTATTACTGTTATCTATTGAATCAAAGCATATTAAAATGTGCTTGAACAATTTTATCATTTCTTAATATTATTTGTACTGGTTGAGAGAATGGGAGGGGGTCGTCAAAAATTTTACTTGTAAAAAACGGGGTCCCTTGGGAAAAAGGTTGGGAACCACTGACCTATAGGGCATGTTGTGATCTGTGGGGGAAACCGGAGTACCCGGAGGAAACCCACGCATGCATGGGGAGAACACGCAACTCCACGCAGAAAGGCTGCAGCCGAGTTTCGAACCTGCAACCTTCGTGCTGCGAGGCAACAGTGCTAACCACTGTTCCACCATGCAGCCCAGCCTACTGAAAGTAGCTTCAGACGACAAGATTTGGAGTCTTATTTCCGTATTTCTGGATATCTCTCCTTCGTTTGGATAAGAACAACACAACTCTGCCACTGACTTGCAATGTGGATGTTTTATCTCCACAACTTACACAAGCCTGGAGGAGTTCTGCTGTGTGGTGGAGTTGCTAATGCATGATTTTCACTTCTGTCAGAAGCTAATGCAAGAGATAGGTGTAGAATATTTTCATGAATTCTGTTGCTGTTTGATTTGTTTTCAGATGAGGGGGAGAGCTTCAACCCTCTGAAGATCGATGTGTTCCTGCAGACCCTTCTCCACCTGGCAGCTAAGTCCTTCAGCCACTCCTTCAGCGCCCTCGGCAAGTAAGTTCAACCCATAGCTGCTGTTGGGTTTTTAACCAACATGTTCTGAATTTTTTATGCTTCTATCACCAACCTTGCCAACACAGGGCCAGTGCTGTTTAGCGCAGGGAAACAAAGACAAGCTGGATACTGGTCTAGGATTGAGCACCCCTGTTCTAGGGTCTCCTGAGCTGTTTTGGGCTTTAATTTTGTTTAAAATCTGCCTGCCCTGAGTCCCAGAATAACTGCAGGGGGGTTTAAAAAATCCTGCAGGTCAGACAAGCCATTTTCTGAGTTAGAACCTCTTTTTTTTTCCAATTCAATTCAAGTTTAAATATATAGCACCAATTCACGACAAGAGTCGTCTCAAGGCACTTCACACAGTAAACATTCCAATACAGGTCAGTTCATTAGGCCAATCAGTGAAAAGTTTCCTATATAAGGAACCCAGCAAATTGCATAAAGTCACTGACTAGTGTCAGTGACTTTATGCAATCTTCATACTAAGCAAGCATTTAGCGACAGTGAAGAGGAAAACTCCCTTTTAACAGGAAGAACCCTCCAGAGCAGCCATCCACCGCGACTCACTGGGGATCGAGAAGACAGAGCTGACACACGCATCCACACACACCATATATACCAAGTAATGTTTCTATGGTTATATTGTGATTTCTTAGTAAATATTCTATTTGCTGAGGGATAAACTTTAGTGTATTTATCCTAGTGAATCTATAATTCAACAGGTAAACTAGTATTAGCACATTCAACATCAAAGAAAGTAAAATGTTATCAGGAGAGGGAGAATGAATTAGTGGTTAGCAGCAGTGTGCTAGACGATGGCCCCCTCCATGAGGCCACCACAGTTCAGCAGAACGTCATTGTAGCTTCTTCTGGGGAGAAAAACACTTAGAGAAAAAATAAAGTTAACAGCTGAAATTGCAGGAAATAATACAGTTAAAGAGCAGATTGTAGAAGAAAGTAGTCAAGTGTGGAAAGTGTATCCTCCAGCAGTCTAAGCCTATAGCAGCATAACTACAGAGTTAACTCTGGATAATCTATCCTATTTAGATGTAGGCATGTTGGAGGCAGGGCAAGGGAGAGCCGTCTTTACCGACTGTACACTCCACCTCCTTCTACTCCCCCACTTGTCCAGATTTAGGCTAACATCAGATTTTAACCAGAGGCCCTATCAAATAAAAATGTTTTAATCCTATTCTTAAAAGTAGACAAGGTGTCTGCCTCACGGACTAAAGCTGGGAGCTGGTTCCACAGGAGAGGAGCCTGATAGCTAAAAGATCTGCCTCCCATCCTATTTTTAGATATTCTGGGAACCACCAGTAAACCTGCAGTCTGAGAGTGAAGTGCTCGGTTAGGAACGTATGGAACAATCAGATCACTGATGTATGATGGAGCTTGATTATTAAGAGCTTTATATGTGAGAAGAAGGATCTTAAAATCTATTCTGAATTTAACAGGTAGCCAATGTAGGGAAGCTAAGACAGGAGAGATGTGATCTCTCTTTTTAATTCTCATCAGAACTCTAGCTGCAGCATTTTGGACAAGCTGAAGACTTTTAACTACATTCTGTTGTCTTTAAAAGAGCCCCTGAACCTGGAATCTGAATTGGACCCCTTTTAAAGCTGGGGCCTGTTGAACAAAGTCCATCTAGACACTAATCCTCAGCAAAAAAAAAAAAAAAAAAAAAAAACACCCCCCCCCAGTCCAACTGTTACCATAAGAGGATGGGCTAGCCTTGTGGCCAGCGCCGGGCCTGGTCTCCTAGACATTACTGGCTTCTTGTGTCATTTTGTGTCTTCTGTATAGAATTCTGACTTGGTTTATTTAGTAAAACACATTTCTGGAAATCTTTAAATAAATAAAGGACTGATGTTGTTTTTACTACTGTTAGGTTCCATGAGATTCTTAAAACTCTGACCGACAGTGACGACGGGAAGCTTCACATCCTTAAAGTGGTGTATGAAGTTTGGAGGAACCACCCACAGGTCCAGACCACATTAACAGCACCACACTGCTGATGTTTGGCTGTAAAAATGACTTATTTGAATGAAATTAAATGTTTGGGCCTCTTGGTTTCAGATGATCGCCGTGTTGGTGGATAAAATGATCCGGACCCAGATCGTGGACTGTGCTGCCGTCGCTAACTGGCTCTTCTCTCAGGACATGGCCCATGAGTTCACCAGGTGAGATATGAAACATCAGCAGGACATGAAAAAAGGGGCTGTGCATAACAAAACACTAGTCAGGGTTCGTACGGTCATGAAAAACCTGGAAAAGTTATGGAAATGGAAAATGCAATTTCTAGGTCCTTGAAAAGTTCATGAAAAATAATATCCTCTGTAAAGTTTTGGAAAAGTCGTTGAAATATTGCTTGGATAATATTTTGGATGTGCAAAATATAAAAAGTACAATCGCGTACTATGATTAAAATTTACATTGCCACAGAAGTGCAACGTGACGCTCTCGCTGCTACTGTCCGCCTCCGTGTGCACCGCCACGTTCGATTTCTGTTTACTAAATGCGTGCACTGCATTGGGATAAAACGTTCACGTGTGAGCCGCTTTACCAATGTATCATTACTCTCAAAACAAACTAGTCCCAAATGAAAACAACGATCGTAATAAAACGGCTTTACCAAAAGGAGGAGAAGTTTACTTTTGAAAAACGTATGAATGTACTTTTATGTGGCAAGTGGCCACAAGAGCACGGAAGGAGATGAAACGAAAATGGGGTTCACCTGACGGCCTATGATGAAAGTTTACGTTACCGTAAAGTAGGCCGAGTGTTCATTGGTTCATTGTTTGGCGGTGTCTCAACTTGTTATCCGACGTGGATTTTAAAGTGCTACGAAATGCCGGGGAAGTGCAGTTTTAACAACAAGTGGCTTTTCAAGGAGAAGTAACTTTGGCTACTGAAAGACCCTGACAAGAAACGCGCAAAATGCAGACTTAGCTCCAAGTCCTTCGATATAAGCGGCATGGGAGAGGCGGGGCTGGTAACTCACATGAAAGGGAAAAAACACACTGCAGCTGTCGAACGCTGCAGAAGCCTGTCAGTCGGCGAGTTTTTTAAAACAGGCAAAGATGGTGTTAGTGCAGTTTCCTCCACACCGACACAGACGGTTGTTGATGCAGCGGCTGCAATTTCCACGGCAAGGTAGACAGTCATGGATGCATCTACAACAACAAAAGTTCCCAAAGCTGAAGTATTGTGGGCATTAAAAGTAAAGCTTGGTTTATGCTTGACGCATTCACTTTCCACGCGGTGATGCGGCTCGCGGATGGAACGCGCTTCACAACTCGCAGTGTTTATGGTTCATGCGGCTTGGCTCTGTGGTGAGCCAATATTCTCCCAAACTGTAGGGGGCAGCATGGAGCTCTAGTCTACAGCATGCATCCAACACTACACCATAGTAGAAGTATAAATTACTGTTTACAACATGGCATTCCAGCATTTTTTAACAGCGTCCTCGTCTTTTCCGACAGTGCGAGCTATTTCTCTCCAAGAATAATTAACAACATGTTGATCACGGTGATCTCTGAGAGCTGAATCATACAAATGTCTGTATTTACAAACCTCTGCCATACTAGTTCTTGCCGGTCCGCCATGTTTTTCCGCGTCCGTCCGTCCGCATGGTTAGAAAATTTCCGAGGTGCGCGTGGCTGAAATTTTGGGCCGTGCGGATGTGCGGTGGAGGGGCGTGGTTGTTAAAATGACGCAACTTTTCCGCGCGGAGTCGTGCGGACCTTGCGGACGCGTCAAGCATAAACCAACCTAAATGAACTCTCACTACTCTTACAAATCATCAGAAGACGTAGCTCCTCGTTTCCAGGCAATGTTTCCTGACAGTCAGATTGCTAGGAGATTTGCATGTGGTGAGAAAAAAATGCAGCTATGTGTGCACATATGGACTAGCCTCGCATTTAAGAAGCTTGATACTGAAGGACGTGTCGCAACAAACGGCATATGTTATTTTATTCGATGAAAGTCAACAAACATTTGCAGTCGAAACAAATGGACCTTCATGTTAGACTGTGGGTTTGATTTAGAGGCACCGACTACGGTGGTCCGGCTGAAATGTGTTCATTTTTGGTCTTGGAAATTAAGTGAATGGTTCTGGAAAAGTCATAGAAAAGTTATGGAAAACCATAGCTAAAACAGTGTATGAACCCTTGCTAGTACATGTTGCCTAAAAATAAACTCGTCTCGTTTAGACTTTTCATCTGGGAGATTCTGCACTCAACAATTCGAAAGATGAACAAACACGTACAGAAGATCCAGAAGGAGCTTGAGGAGGCTAAAGACAAATTAGAGAAGCAGCAACACAAGAGGGTAACTGGAAATGATTTGCTAAAATTGATCATGCAGACATAGAAATGTCACTGATGTGTGTGTCCAGTAGTTTAAAACTTCTGTAAAGTTTGGATGACTGTTAATTCAAACTTCTTCAGTACTGTAAGAACCTCTTTGTCATTTTCATTTTACTGAGAAGTCCCACTTTTAGGGAAAAAGGCTATACTTTCTGCAGCAGAGACATAAGATGTGTAGAAATGATCTGTGGTTCGTTGGTGGGGAATAAATGTTATTGTGCACCAACAGAGGGACAGTGGTGATGACGAGGACATGGAGAAGAACAGCGAGGACGAGGAGGGTCAGCTGGAGGAGCAAATTGAGAGGCTGCAGGAGAAGGTGGAGTCGGCTCAAAGCGAACAGAAAAACCTCTTCCTCGTCATCTTCCAGGTAAACCCGAGTCTTTACCTGCAGGAACTGATCCGTTAAATGTTCTCCTGGGGTCTGACAATATTTTAGGTTACACGTTCTTTATTCTGGCGTGGAGGAGCAGAGAGATGCAAACTTCTACTTAGGAGAATGAAAAGTTTCAGTTAGGCACTGGTTTTAGAAACAGAAGAAGAAGAAATTATTTTTTATATAGCAGCTCTCGATATGAAAATCAGTAGGCACTTCACAAAAACAAAATATAAAAACTAAAAATTGGGGGAGAAGGAAAGGCTGACTCTGGACAGACTGGTGAGTGATGAAACAAGTACACTCTTTAATTGTGTGTGTGTGTATGTGCGTGTGTGTGTGTAAATCCTCAGCGTTTCATCATGTTGTTGACTGAACATCTGGTTCGCTGTGAGACGGGCAGTGTGGACATCACCACACCATGGTACAAAAACTGCATTGAGCGGCTGCAGCAGGTCTTCCTCATGGTAAGACACACACACAAAGTGTTTGCTTGTTTTTAAAGCTCCTTTTCTGATTAGTCTTACTATTTTCTCTTGCTGATGCTGCTCTTCTTCATGCCCTGCAGCACCACGGCACCATCCAGCAGTATATGGGGACTCTGGAGAACCTGCTGTTCACCGCTGAGCTGGACCACCACATCCTGGCCGTCTACCAGCAGTTCTGCGCCCTGCAGCTCTGAAAAAAACCATCAATCTGATGAAATCCTCATGTTCACGCAGATTATGTGGTAAACGTTAGAAACGGCCAGCTCTTGCATCAAGAATCTCCTCATCACAGCTTAAGTTTTTTATTATCTAACTGTCTTGTGTTCGGTGCCAATGATGTTCGCCACGACTGGAGACGTATTTCAGAATAAGAACTCAAACAAGAATCCTTTTAGTAACTGTAATGGTCCCTCTTATTTTATTTTGTTGTGATGCTTTTGACTTTAGTTGACTTTTCCCTCCTGCTCATGTTCTTCTGAATGGATATTTTTCAAACTGTGTCCAGACGGAGCTGGAGAAATGTTCATAGGAAAGCAGCGCTCTACTTTTTCTATTTGTTTTATGTGGAATGGGGAAGAAATTAAAACCCTAAGGAGTCTTTATCCACTTTCCCGTTTGTGTTCTTCTTGAGACTTGAATGGAAATTTTGGATCTTAAGTTTTCAACAATTTCACATTTCTTTTTGTTGCATCTGTAGAGCAGATAGAAAAAGTTGGAGTGATATTTGTTTCTTGTTTATAGATGTAAAAAAAAGGTAAGAAATTCTATTTTAATGTCTTCAATTTAAATTCCTTTCCTCACCAAAATCAAACAATGACACCAATGTTACAAAAAACCTTGCTCACTGTAGTAGTAGAAAGGATATCTAGTGACATTTATTTCAAACATTCATCACACTCAAGAACAAAGCATCTTCTCTTATTTTCATACAGTATTTTCTTATTTTTGGCATCATTTTACAAGTCAGTTTGACAAATAAGTGATTTTTATAATAACTGTCACGATTGGTTTTAAGAAACTATACAACAATTTGTAATCTGATTTTTTGGTTATTAAGTTCCTAACGTGAGAGTTGGACTCTGCCAAGGCTGCCCTTTGTCACTGATTCTGTTCATAACCTTTATGGACAGAACTTCTAGGTGCAGCCAAGGTGTTGAGGGGATCTGTTTTGGTGGCCTGAGGATCAGGCAGATGATGTGGTCCTGTTGGTTTCATCAGTACGTGATCTCCAGCTTTTGCTGGAGCGGTTCGCAGCTGGGATGAGAATCAGCTCCTCTAAATCCAAGACCATGGCTTTAAATCGGAAAAAGGCAGAATACCTTCTCCAGGTCAGAGATGAGGTCCTGCCTCAAGTGGAGGAGTTTAAGTATCTCGGGGTCTTGTTCACGAGTGAGGGAAAGATGGAGCATGAGATCGATAGGCGGATTGGTGCTTCATCTGCAGTGATGTGGGCATTGTATCGATCTGTCGTTGTGAAGAGAACTGAGCCAGAAGGCAAAGCTCGATTTACTGGTCGATCTACGTTCCTACCCTCATCTATGGTCATGAGCTTTGGGTAGTGACCGAAAGAATGAGATCGCGGATACAAGCAGCAGAAATTAGTTTTCTCCGCAGGGTGGCTGGGCTCTCCCTTAGAGATAGGATGAGAAGCTCTGTGATTCGCGAGGGGCTCGGAGTAGATTCGCTGCTCCTCCACGTCGAGAGAAGCCAGTTGAGGTGGCTCAGGCATCTGATTTGGATGCCTCCCTGGTGAGGTTTTCCGAGCACATCCAACTGGGAGGAGACCCAAGAGAAGACCTAGGACATGCTGGAGGGACTACGTCTCTCAGATGACCAGGGAACAGCTTGGGATTCCCTCAGAGGAGCTGGCCCAACTAGCTGGGGAGAGGCACGTCTGGGCTTCTCGGCTTAGGCTGCTGCCTCCGCAACCTGACTGGATAAGTGGTTGAAAATGGATGGAAGTTTGTAATGTCGTTCTCCAAAAAATAAGGCCCTACCAAAACAAGAGAATAGCACAAAGTCTGTAAACGGCAGTTAGACGTGTCTTTGAAAAGGGTAACGAATTCTGTAGATTGCACTTGCTGATCAACAAACACCTGCTCTGCATATCTTTGAAACTTCTTCCCATTCATACCTTTCTAGTTGATCTGTTTTGCAACAGCATCAGAAAAGATCCTTGTAAAAATGTAAATGATTCTTGAGGTTCTGTCCACCAACACTCACTTGTAGCAAGGTGGAGAAGCGAGGGCCTGGGCGAGATTTGATCTCCAGACTCCTGGGTGAGAGTCACGCTTACTAACCAGTCAGCCAAAGGGACATCTCCTTGGCCAAGTAGCCAGGGTGCATGATCAATCAGGATACAGTGACAGGACACTCGCACTGTCACACACTCATGAAATCTATAAAAGCACAGACATACATACATTTCTGTATCCAGTATCATACAATTACAAAATCATGTTTTGTTTGACACGTGAATTCCTGGAATCCTTTTGCCACTCCAGTTCCTCAATTTCAGACAAGATGGCCAGTGGGCAGCAATTCAGTTACTGTTCTGTGGGGTATCCTAAGGATCCGTTTTGGGCCCACTCCTGTTTTTACTGTACATTCATCCTCTTGGACAGATAACTGATTGTTTTCATAATGTCTCTTGTCACCTATATGCAGATGACATTCAACTGCTCCTTTAAAGGTGTGGTTTACTTGTTTATTCAATACATTTGCAGTATTCTATAGTGTAAATTAATGCCGTATGAGTCACTGAAGTAAAATAAGCTATGATGCTCCTGTTCTGGGATGTAGAAGTTTGCTGTTTCAGAGGTAGGCTGAGAACAGGAGGAATACATATTATTAATGATATGCACACACCTCTCCTTTGATTGGCTAACACTTTGAGCCATCAAAGTCATTATTGCTCTCTCTCCTCACTGCAAAAAATAAAACAAAAAGCCTTACTGTGGGCTAGTGCAAGCCAAGATGGGCAAGGCCATGAATGCAAATTCACAGAATGACATAGATAAGTGAGAATTTTTAAATCCTAGCATTTCATTGTTATGTTTATGTTTATTCATTTAGGAGACGCCTTTATCCAAAGCGACTTACAATTTATAACCTATAGGGCATGTTGTGATCTGTGGGGGAAACCGGAGTACCCGGAGGAAACCCACGCATGCATGGGGAGAACACGACACTCCACGCAGAAAGGCCGCAGCCGAGCCGAGTTTCGAACCAGCAACCTTTGTGCTGTGAGGCAACAGTGCTAACCACTGCGCCACCATGCAGCCCATTGTCTATTTTCTCTCAGAAGCTAATGCATGAGAACAGTGTGGAAGACTGTTTTCATGTTCAGCCTGCATGAAAAACTCAAGAGTGACCAATTATAATTAGAAATAATCATTAAAAAGTGGGGTTTCAGTCACCACACCTTAAAGAATTCTGAGTACCATAAACTGGCTCAACTATTAGAGTGCCTATCAGCTATCACTAGCTGGGATTAATAAAGTATCTTTGAATTGAATTGAATTAAAGTCCATAAATGTCACACACACACACACACACACAGACACACACACACACTGGTGTGTGGTGAAATTTGTCCTCCACATTTGACCCATCCCCATGAGGAGCAGTGAGCTGGAGACACAGGAACTGTTTGGTGGTTTAACCCCCCAGTTCAACCCCTTTAAAGTTGAGTGTCAAGCAGGGAGGCATTAGGTCCAATTTTTAAAGTATTTGGTATGACCCGACCAGGATATGAACCCCAACATCCCAGTCCTAGGGTGGACACTCTACCACTAGGCCACTGAGCTGGAAAATAACTAGAAGATAGAAAATAACTTCCTTCAGTTAAACTCTGAAAAGACTCTCCGTTGGGGAGCTTAGTTCATGCCCATCTACTTCTGGACCATGGGTCCCCAACCACAGACATCATCATCAATGTCTATGTCCCCAAAACATTAATGTGAGTCTATGAGAGGATAAAGATTATGTTGTGATCCCATTTGATATGCGCCATGCGTCTTACATATGTTGTTCGTGAATTTTAGACATATTTTGATGCAAAGAAAGAGCTTATTTTCAAACAACAGCAAAATTTATTTTAGGTTTTGAGTGAAAACACATTCAGGACAAATGTTCGTCTCACCAAATTGATGACATCAAACCAGACATGGAGAAGAGGTTAGTTTAGTGAGCTTTCAATCCTTGTTTCAGGATGAAAAATGGAGCATTAAACATGGAGAAAACCACTATAAATCTGGCCATGTGGTAAGTGGCAGCTATGCTGGGGGAGAAGAGATTCTGCGGTGATGTCATATATGTGACGTGTGATTTGTAGTCTTTTTAACTACAAACTTTTTATAAGCTAATAAATCTTAATGTACGTGACAGACATAGTCAAAACACTCATCATTACTTTTCATTTAAACTAGAGATGGACAATATATTGGCATCAATATCGGTATCAGGTGATGTTAGTCATTTTTTAACATATCGGTATCGTTCGATAAATAAAACTGGGCCGATATTAACAGCCGATATTTTTTCCATCTTGTCTCCATTTGGTTGCCTGTTTCAGAGGGTGAGGGGGGTGATGTGTAATTGTTTACTCATGTGAACAGTGAATTAAATCATCTCAGAGCCATAATTCAATTCAAATTCAATTCAAAAATACTTTATTAATCCCAGAGGGAAATTGATTGCTGTAGTAGCTCATAATAATAATAATAATAATAATAATCAGGTCATCAAAGAGTTATTGTATATTACAATGGCCGTTGGCAGGAAGGATCTCCAGTAGCGGTCAGTGTTGCAGCGAAAATGAAGAAGCCTCTGACTGAAGACACTCTTCTGTTGTCGGACAGTCTTGTGAAGAGAATGCTCAGGGTTGTCCATCATTTTCTTGATTCTCTGGAGAATCCTTCTTTGCATGATCTCCTCCAGTGGTTCCGAAACTGCCGAAACTCTGGCTGAGTCCTTGAAAGGGCTTGGAGTTCCTCCATCTTGTTGGCCAGTGATCTCACACTGCCCATTATGATCGATGGAAGAGATGGTTTGAATTTCCTCTTTCTCTGTCTCCATTTTGCTTCCACTCTGCACCCATGCTTCTTGTGTTTTAGCTCATTTGGGATTTGTGGCTTCAGTTGAGGTATTATTTCAGCCTTTCCAATGTAAATCAGCTGCTCCTGATTGTAAACCAGCTTGTTGCCATGGTTATGCATCATAACAAATGCTCAAACAGTGAAATAAATGTGTGTGTTGTGTGTACATAATACTGTAAATTTGGCTTTATTATAATTTTCATTATACAAAATCTGCTGATTTTAGAAGCATTAATGTAAGTATATTCGAATCTGCAACTATGGGTCATCATCCCTAACAGTGATCTTAATATCGGATATCGGCCAAAAAATTTCATGTTCGTGCATCACTGATTTAAACTGAAGTACAACTCACATGTGATTCAGGGCATAAGGCAAAGACAAGAACATGGTTTTTGTAGCCTGGGTCACTTCCATTCATTTTTCTTTGTTCTGGGGACCCATGAGCTGACCGGAAGGGGAGGAGACTTGAGTATGTTTGTATAATTACAAAATGGCAAGTAATCAAATAGTCTCAAATAAATAACATAAAATTAACATAAACGGTAATTAGCCTGTATTTGTATAGTGCCTTGTTTTACAACCCCACAAGGCGCTTCACAACACAATCAGTCATTCACCCATTCACACAATGGCGATGATGTTTCCACAGCTGGTGCACTGACAGAGGCGAGGCGCTACCAGTCCCTCCACCAGCAAAAAATATAGTTTTGCTTGTTACACTAGCTTGGAGTCATTACAAATTTAGCTGCTAGCTACTGTTTGCCACAAAATACAGCAAACATAAATAACTTCTACAAAGCTAACACAAAAACAAAGTTTTTACTACTCATAAAAAATTATTACATCATTTCTGTAATTTATGTACAAACAGCAAATGAGTTGTGCCTGGGACATTTTTCACTAATCTGTCTTGACTCTGCCAGGAAATGGCTAAAATAATGACTTTGACACATAATTAGTTCATGTGTAACACAGGATTAAGAATTTTAAAGTATGGTGTTTTTTCACATTGTTCTCTTTAATCCATTTTACAAATTACAATTTGATATTCAAAATTCATCAAGAGAGACAATTTGTTACAACAAATTGTACCATGCACAATCTCTGTTAAATGGTGTCCAGATGAATCAGAAAAAATGTCCCTGATGATGCCAGACGGTTTTGTTCCATCAATAATTTCGAAATGCACTACAGGGTTTGTCTGTTTATTTGCTAACAGACGTCTACAAACCCTTTTAACTCAGTTGTGACTCACTGTGGTTTAACATATACAATAGATTTTTAAAGCATCTTCAACAAAATCACAGCAGAAACTTAAAAAAAATAAAGGTTTCTTGTCAGTTAAAAAAAATTGAATGTTAAAAATGTTCCAGTAACTCATGATGTTTCTACTAACACCTGCAGTAACAGAACATCAGCAGGTTAAATGTGTAAAGTGCGATTTGTGTTGCTGAAGTACTTTTGTTGTCACTTTCATCTGAAACTTGTTTTAGGAACAGATTTGCTGTAAGATCTAAGACGAAGCAGCTGGATTTGAACGCAGTGATTTTTTGTTGTTGTTTTGGTTCTTCTGAGCAGCATATTTCTGCTTTGCTGAGGTCACCTGATCTGAGAGCAGCTTTTTTTCTTGTTTGAAAACATAATAGCCTAGAATCTAGACCTTCATTTGCCAAAGCAAAATTAGTTTGCTCTACTGTGTAACACAGGATTATCACATATATATACACATATATATACACGTATATATATATATACATATATATATATACATACATATATATATACACATACATATATATGTATATATATATGTATGTGTATATATATATGTGTGTATGTATATATATATACATACACACATATATATACATATATATATGCATATATATACATACATATATATATGTATATATATATATATATATAAATATATATGTGTGCATGTATATATATACATATATATATATATATATATATATATATGTGTGTGTGTGTGTGTATATATATGTATATGTATATGTATGTGTGTGTATATATATATATATATATATATATATATATATATATATATATATATATATATATATATATATATACTGTTTATAGGTGAGGTGGTGCCCACTACTCACCCCTGCCACATGGACCTCATGGGATAAACCATCAACCCTGCTCAATGGTCAACTTTCCTCACCAGGTCACACCCATTAGGACAGTGGGAAGGATAAACACATTTGTAGCAATTAAACATCCTGATAAGACATTTCTTGCTAAAGACACCATTTATAGAAAAAAAAGTTGGACCCAGTACCATGAAACAATCACAGTGTGGTCATTTAAATGACCAAAAACAACAAGGAAGTGTCAATAATGAAATCAAATCCATAAGTTTTGTTATTTCATCTATTCATGTATGGAGCTGAGCTGTCTCTTTCATCTCTCTGGTATGGCTTGTACGTCGCTTGCACTTCAGCGTCTAGACGTCTGTAACGAGTGTTGAAGAACATGACGAAGAGGGAGGTGAAGACGGTGCACAGTCCAGCCATCACCATCATCGGTACTGAGGGTAAGAGGAAAAAAACATCTCAGCTGGCTTGTATTCTAAAGAGTGATTTATCTACATCTGCAGCTTCAGGATTTCATTTGAGACCATTCAGATGAAAGATTGTGACTGTTCATTTCATTACATGTATGAACAAGTTCAGCAGTGTCCATGCAGCTCCTGCTCTAACATCACTGTGAAAATCTAAAGTGAGACTTGGTTAGATTCCCCAAGGGTCTCATTTATCAAACATTGCATAGAATCCTTACTAAAACCGTACTTAAGCTCAGCAAAAAAATGTACTTACGCCAATTTGTGATCTATCAAACATGGATGGTCCTCCTTGAACCGTCACCTTATCGTGGTGGAGGAGTTTGAGTGCCCTAATGATCCTAGGAGCTATGTTGTCTGGGGCACTTAGTGCCCCTGGTAGGGTCTCCCATGACAAATTGGTCTTAGGTGAAGGGTGAGACAAAGAACGGTTCGAAGGATCTTTCATGGCGGTTAAAACGAAGAGTCGGAGTACCCGGCCCGGAGGGTTACCGGGGTCCCACCCTGGAGCCAGGCCTGGGGTTGGGGCCCGTGAGCGAGCGCCTGGTGGCCGGGCTTTCGCCCATGGGGCCGGCCGGGCCCAGCCCGAACCGGATACATGGGCTCGTCCAACTGTGGACCCACCACCCGCAGGAGGAACATGAAGGGTCCGGTGCAATGCGAATCGGGTGGCAGACCAAGGCGGGAGCCTTGGCGGTCCAATCCCCGGACAAGAAAACTAGTTTTTGGGACATGGAACGTCACCTCGCTGGTGGGGAAGGAGCCGGAGCTTGTGGCAGAGGTTGAGCGGTACCGGCTAGATGTAGTCGGACTCACCTCGACACATTGCATTGGCTCTGGAACCCGAGACCTGGAGAGGGGTTGGACACTCTACTTTGCTGGAGTTGCTCCGGGTGAGAGGCGGAGGGCTGGGGTTGGCTTTTTGTTAGCCCCGAGACTCTCTGCCTGTGTGTTGGGGTTTACCCCGGGGGACAAGAGGGTAGCTTCCTTGCGCCTTCGGGTCGGGGAACGGGTCCTGACTGTTGTTTGTGCTTATGGGCCAAATATCAGTTCAGAGTACCCACCCTTTTTGGAGTCCCTGGGACGAGTGCTAGATAGTGCTCCATCAGGGGACTCCATTGTCCTGCTGGGGGACTTCAATGCTCACGTGGGCAATGACAGCTTGACCTGGAGGGGTGTGATTGGGAGGAACGGCCCACCTAATCTGAACTCGAGCGGTGTTTTGTTATTGGACTTCTGTGCAAGCCGCAGTTTGGCCATAACGAACACCATGTTCGAACATAAGGATGCCCACCGGTACACTTGGTACCAGGGCAGCCTAGGTCATAGGTCGATGATAGATTTTGTAGTCGTATCATCTGACCTGCGGCCGTATGTTTTGGACACCCGAGTGAAGAGAGGGGCGGAGCTGTCAACTGATCACCACCTGGTGGTGAGTTGGATCAGATGGCAAGGGAACATGCCACGTAGACCTGGCAGACCCAAACGCATAGTGAGGGTCTGCTGGGAACGCCTGGCAGAAGAACCTGTCAAGACGGTCTTCAACTCCCACCTCCGGCAGAGCTTTGACCACGTCCCGAGAGCAGTGGGGGACATTGAGTCCGAGTGGGCCTTGTTCCACTCTGCGATTGTCGAGGCGGCTGTTGCTAGCTGTGGTCGTAAGGTGGCCGGTGCCAGTCGTGGTGGCAACCCCCGTACCCGCTGGTGGACACCAGAGGTTCGGGGAGCCGTCAGGCTGAAGAAGGAGGCCTACAGGGCGTGGCTGGTCTGTGGGTCTCCGGAGGCAGCAGACAGGTACCGGATAGCCAAGCGGGGTGCAGCAGTGGCAGTTGCCGAGGCAAAATCTCGGGCGTGGGAGGAGTTTGGTGAGGCCATGGAGAAAGACTATCGATCGGCTCCAAAGAGGTTCTGGCAAACTGTCCGGCGCCTCAGGAGAGGAAGGCAGCAACTCGCTCACACTGTTTACAGTGGGGATGGGGAGCTGCTGACGTCAACTGAGGCTATAGTCGGACGGTGGAAGGAATACTTTGAGGAGCTCCTCAATCCCACCAATGCGCATTCCGAGGAGGAACCAGAGCTGGGAGGCCTGGGGATGGACTGTCCGATCTCGGGGGCAGAAGTTGCTGAGGTAGTAAAACAACTACACAGCGGCGGAGCCCCGGGGGCGGATGAGGTTCGTCCTGGGTATCTCAAGGCTATGGATGTTGTAGGGCTGTCATGGTTGACACGTCTCTACAACATTGCGTGGTCATCGGGGGCAGTTCCTAGGGAGTGGCAGACCGGGGTGGTGGTCCCCATCTTTAAGAAGGGTGACCTGAGGGTGTGTTCCAACTATAGGGGGATCACACTCCTCAGCCTCCCTGGAAAGGTCTACTCCAAGGTACTGGAGAGGAGGGTCCGATCGATAGTTGAATCTCAGATAGAGGAGGAGCAATGTGGTTTTCGTCCTGGTCGTGGAACTGTGGACCAGCTCTATACCCTTGCAAGGGTGATGGAGGGGGCATGGGAGTTTGCCCAACCAATCCACATGTGCTTTGTGGATTTGGAGAAGGCTTATGACCGTGTCCCCAGGGGCACCCTGTGGGGGACGCTCCAGGAGTATGGGGTGGGTGGCTTTCTGTTAAGGGCTATTCAGTCCCTTTACCAGAGGAGCGTGAGTTTGGTCCGCATAGCCGGTAGTAAGTCGGACCTGTTCACAGTGAGGGTTGGACTCCGCCAGGGCTGCCCTTTGTCACCGGTTCTGTTCATCACTTTTATGGACAGAATTTCTAGACGCAGCCGTGGTGTGGAGTGTGTCGAGTTTGGTGGCAGGAGAATCTCGTCTCTGCTTTTTGCGGATGATGTGGTCCTCCTAGCTTCATCCAGCTCAGACCTTCAGCTCTTGCTGTGTAGGTTCGCGGCCGAATGTGAAGCGGCTGGGATGAGGATCAGCACCTCCAAATCTGAGACCATGGTTCTCGACCGGAAAAGGGTGGCTTGCCACCTCCGGGTCGGGGGAGAGGTCCTACCTCAAGTGGAGGAGTTTAAGTATCTCGGGGTCTTGTTCACGAGTGAGGGTAGGAGGGATCGGGAGATCGACAGGCGGATTGGTTCAGCGTCTGCAGTGATGCGGACGCTGAGCCGATCTGTCGTGGGGAAGAGGGAGCTGAGCCAGAAAGCCAGGCTCTCGATTTACTGGTCGATCTACGTCCCAATCCTCACCTATGGTCATGAGCTTTGGGTAATGACCGAAAGAACGAGATCGCGGATACAAGCGGCCGAAATGAGTTTCCTCCGTAGGGTGGCCGGGCTCAGCCTTAGAGATAGGGTGAGGAGCTCGGACATTCGGGAGGGACTCGGAGTAGAACCGCTGCTCCTCCGGATCGAAAGGAGCCAGTTGAGGTGGTTTGGACATCTGGTCAGGATGCCTCCTGGACGCCTCCCCGGGGAGGTGTTTCGGGCATGTCCTGCCGGCAGAAGGCCCCCGGGTCGACCCAGGACACGTTGGAGAGGTTACATCTCCAATCTGGTCCGGGAACGCCTTGGGGTCCTGCCGGAGGAGCTGGTGGACAAGGCCGGGGAGAGGACGGCCTGGAGCTCCCTAGTTGGGATGCTGCCCCCGCGACCCGGACCCGGATAAGCGGAGGAAGACGACGACGACAACGACGACAAACATGGAGTACGCACAGCTGCATGCAATTTCCTTCATAAATCAGAAACTATCTAGAAAGGTTCTCAGCTGCTTTTTAGTCACATCCCGCCCTCACCACGCCCACTTTCTGTCATAAATAGTCAATGCAAAGTCCCTTGTGGATCTCATGCATATACATAAGCCGGCTGTTGCAGCGCTCCGCCATTGACGATGGCAACCGTAGCTTAAGGCAGATCAAGGAAGTGCAATTTCACAGCAGAAATTGAGGTACTTGTGGGGGAGGTGGAGAAATGAAATGAAGTGCTTTTGCAAAACAAATAAGAGAAATTCCACGGAGTGCCACAGCGTTGCTGAAGCCGTCAATGTTGTGAATTCTTCAGAGAGATCTGTGGCGGATATAAAAAAAAAAAGGTCCAATCGGGATTCGATCCCCAGACTCCCAGGTGAGAGTCACACGCACTAACCAGTCACCCAAATGGAAATCTCTCTTGTACAAGTAGCCAGGGCGCATGATCAATCGGGTCACAGTGACAGGACACACACACACTGTCACAGATGCATGACATTCTGTCTCAATCTGTCCCCCCTGCTGATATTCTGCATTCTGTATTCTGCGCTTCAGGCTGTGTGTGTGTGTGTGTGTGCGCGCGTGCGTGCGAGTGTGCGTGTGTGGGCGCGCGCGTGTGTGCATGTGGGGGGTCTTGTTCTGTGTGAAAACAAAGCAGTACAAGTGATAATGCTGCAGGATGTCATAATTGTATTCTTCTCAGCAGCAGCACTGCAGGTGCTCTCCATGTCCAAAATGTGCATAAGCCAGGTCCTTAGTCTACTTAAAGTTGCGCACATTTTTCCGCTAAGTTTTCTTTCATAAACCCCAAAGTTTGCGTGGGAAGTTGCTTACACAGTTTTCCGACCCCGTTTTGTGCGTAAGCGAGCCTGATAAATGAGGCCCCTGATGTGTAAAGAAAGCCAAGATTATAATAAATCTTACAGTTGCAACCAGTGGCTCATTAGGGTCACCATAACCACTATTGGTAAACACCATGGTAACCACACACGTGTCTCTAACTCAGCTGTCGTTGATTCTAAATAAATGTAGAGCAGAGTTTTAACCTGAAGACCACAGAATGATGGTTTTGGGCTGAAGTATTACATTTAAATAATAATAAATAATGATTACGTGTCCACAGCCCTATTAGATACACATCTATACAGGTTATCAGCAAAAATAAGTTCATTTAGGTGTTACCCGCTCTTTAAGTTAGTAAACAAAGGCAGCCGTGAGCAGTGCTGCTTTTGGAGAATCTGATATTGCTTCCTGCTCTCTCTCACTGAGACCACTGTGTGTGCTCCTCACAGAAGTCTGTCCTTGCGCTGCCACGGCTGGTGTCAGCTCCAAGCTGCAGTCAGAGGAGATGTTTACTCCCCAGCATCCAGAGTGATAATGAATCAAAGGAAGCAGATGCTGGCTGATTCTATCTGCCAACTGAAGGTATCCCCAAAAGGGAGGTGTGAATTTCAGCCGGCCAATCAGTCGGCAGCGGGTGTTTTGGGTCAGTTGAGCACGAAGCGGACCACCAGAGAGGACGTCAGAAAAACAGTCAATTGAGCATGAAAAACATACAGGCTACCCAGATGTGCACACAATATACCCTAACAGGGCAGGTCTGTGCTGACCCAGATGTGAAAGCGCTACAAAACAGAAAACACAAAGTTACGTTGAACTGTGAGCAGTAGGAGGTGCTGGTGGTCATGTGGATTTCCACTTTCTACACTTTTATATAGGAGATCAGATAAAACCTCTCAGGTGATCAGAGAGATAATCACCAGTACTCCAGATGTTAGAGACAGTACATCGTTATAAAACTTAAACAGTGACTTTAATCAGAGGCAGACTTATCACTAGGCAAATGTAGGCGACTGCCTTGTGCCCTAAACACTTCAAGGGCCCTGACACTTAAAAAAGATGTTTAAGAGATTTTTTTCCTCAAAATGAATTAAACCTGTCATTCTAAAAGAAAAACTACTTCAAAATGGCATCAGATTGACTTGTGTGATAGTGTTTCAATGTCGCCCGTCACCCAGCTACAATGGACTTTTACAAGGCTGCAGCAACGGAAGTGAACTATTGATGAGCAAGTCTGTTGTCTGATGCAAATAATAAGTAAAATAATTTTTAAAAAACTAAGTGAAGATATTAAAGAGGCCCGAAAAGCCCATTTTTTCTGAGTAAGAATTTAGAAAGGTTCAGAGCAACAGCTGCAGAGGGCCCCCAGTCTTTGTTTGCCTTGGACCCCAAAACTGCTAAGCCTGCCACTGACTGTGTAAAAACAATAAGATAAAAAAAAACCAACCTTTCAGTCGTGTTAATTCCAACTTCTGTGACTTGTTCAAACTTTTAATGGCATTTCTACTGTGAGGGCCACATGAGCTCCAGAGCTCTACAGGAGGCAGGGCTTTTCTGTCAAAGTCACCCTAAACTAGACCTTTTGTCACAGACTGCAGAATAAAATAACCAATAAAAATAACTCTTCAATGAAGAATAAAAAGAACTGCTTCAGTAGACTCCACCCAGAGGTTTGATGAAGGTCATGTGACCTACTTTTCCAGCTGTAGATGACGTCTCCGCAGGTGGACAGAGGAGAATCAGCCAGCTGCTTGGTTAAAGCTTGAAGTATGACGATGTAAACAACCGACTGGATCTGCCTGGAAGAAGAAAGCAGTCGAGACATTCCATTAACACAGGAGAAAAGCTGTGACACACACACACACACACACACACACACACACACACACACACACACACACACACACACACACACACACACACACACACACACACACACACACACACACACACACACACACACACACACACACACACACACACACACACACACACACACACACCCGTTGAAGGGTAGTTTTTAGAACTTTAAAGAAATCAGAAAAACTTGCTGTTTATTTTTAAAATGCCATGATGGTCTACAGACTGAGCAGAGTGTGGTAAAATACACTCTACAAAACAGATGAAAATGGTTTATTTTTAAGGACGGCTGAAGTAAAACTGTGAGTTGACTTCTCCTGGTGTGAATTTCTGAACATCAGACTTCTGTCCTGACCTTACTTCTGAAACAGCAGGAGATGTGTTTCTATTTTAGTGTGATGTGCTCTATACCAGTCTGTCAGCACAAACTGATCCAATCATCACAATAACCTTTAGTCTAGTGGTTCAGGTTTTCTAATGGAACTCTGTTATTATGAGTTGTACCCTGAAACAAAGATGAGTCCGGCCGATGTTGCTTCTCCGACCGGATATGAACACTCCACGGAAAGCTCCATGGCCACAGGGTAGATGGAGAAACCAAACAAGCCAAAGAGAGCGCAGACGACCGCGATGGCGACTTTCTGCTGTGGCAGCAAACACACCTTTGAGACGAAAGAGGCAGGTTATCTTTACCTGCAAGTATGAACCACTGTACCCCAATGTTTCATGTTCTCACCACTGAGAAGGTGATGCAGCACAGAGCTGTCATAGAGATGTTGATCTTTATGACTTCCATGAACTTCTTTGACTTGTCCACGTAGAAACCAAACACAGCAGAGCCAAAAACCCCGACCCCGATGAAGAGAGCACCGCAGAGGCCAGCAAAGTCCTGCACGTCAGATTTTATTGGTCCAATGACAGAAAAAGGTTTTATTCCTTAGTGATTATTAAAAAACATGTTTATTTTCTTCATTAAATCTTTATTATTGTGTCCAAATTTTCCCAAATTTAAAACAAGTTTTTCCTTATTGAGCTGTGATATTTAAACATGTTTGTTTTGATGCAGTTTACTAACATTGGTGTATCCCTGTACACACAGAATCTGCTCCAGCAACGTGGTGAAGCAGGTGAACACAGCAATGCCAGAACCGAAGCACACCAGCAGGATGAGGTAGGCTTTGTTCCTCAGTAACTATGAAGGACACAGAGTAGGTTAGGGTATCACCTAAAGTTCATGATAGTTAGCTTACTCATGTTTGGAGAAGGCCCTTCAGGACTGAGAAGCTAACAGCTAGTCTTATCCAGTTATTGGTAATAAAATATTAAAGAGCAAGTCACCCCCAGCCAACTTTTTTTTGCTGATAAACTATATAAATGATCATCTAATCATGCTATGGACATGTGCAGTCAATTATTTGGCACTTTAGTGCATCTTAGATAAAATGAAAAAATTCTGCCTAAAACTGTCAGTGCTGTGCCCTCTTCAGGTAGACATCTGCACTAAATTTGAATTTAAATCTGCCATCGCTATTGGCTAAGAGACACCCTATGATGTTAGCTGATACCATATGATGTCACAATGCCACTGTGAGCCTGTATGTGTGTATTTGTTAGCGGCTCCACCCTTTGCCAGACAATGCCTCCTTGTGGCACATTTTTCAAACAGGAAATGTGAGTAGAGGTAGACTCTGGTGGGGATGACTTGCTCTTTAAGTCGGTCCTGCTTAGGGTTGTCACGGTAACCGGTATAGCGGTAAACCCCGGTAAAAAAGTTGACAATAAAAATAACCGTCCAGTTTTTTAAAAACTAAATTATCTCGGTGGGTTTACCGTGGCCGCGGTTTTGGCGCGATGACCCTTACCAGCCACCGTCGCTTCAGCTGAAGTTCCCGCGGCGCGCACACGCACTTTTTAGTTTGCAACGGCACCAAAGCTTTGAAGCTGAAATAATGGCCGAAGGAGGAGACGGCAGCGCCCAGGACATCCATCAGCCCTCAAAGAAGACTAAATCGGAAGTATGGGCATATTTTGGATTTCTGAAAAATGCTGAGGGACAGTTAATAGAAGACGGCTATCCCGTTTGCAGAACGTGCAGGAAACAAGTGTCTGCAGAAGGCAGCAACACTTCGAATCGAATGGCACATCTGCGTGACCATCACCCACGTCTCTACAGCCAGTGCAAGGTAAGTTAACATTAGCATTTTAGCTTAAATGCATGACGTGAGGACTTTTGGCTGAGGGAGAATGCAACGAGTCACTATATACTGCAGCCGCAGCGTCCTCTGCCAGCATTTAAACCGTGTCACGGACACCCTGTTGCTGGATGAAGCATCTTATTTGTTGATGATGAAGAGAAATATACAATTAGTTCCTTGTCATTGATTTGTTTACTTATTCAATGCCATTTATACTTGAACATTTGGATTTGATTACATAGTGTAGTAGTTATTTTAGTAATTTGTTTAAAGTGGCTGTTTATTTTAAATACATATTTTTTTAAGTGTTGACTTGTACAGTGCTCAAGTCAAGTGTGGACTGGAGTTTTAGATTTTCATTTTGATAATGAAGAAAACAAGTATATGAGAAAACAAGTGGTGTTTCTTTGATTTGTTTACATATTGTTTATGTTTCGAATGTTTGGATTTGTATAATTTAAACCTGCACTGACTACTGTAACATGTTCCAGAAAAATAAGCTATTTGTTCCTTTACTTGTGAAAAGTTGCACTTTTGCTAAGGCTTTGTGTTATTTTAGGTTTAATAAACACTGTTAAACCTTTTCAAAACTATTTCAGTTTGTGTAGAACAGGACTATCAATGCTTTCTGAACATATGCAACACCGTTTAAAAAATACCGCGATAATACCGAAAACCGTGATAATTTTGGTCACAATAACCGTGAGGTTAAATTTTCATACCGTGACAACCCTACTCCTGCTGGACTTGACCCCTGGGTGCACCCGATAGGCTCCAGTCAGCTGCTGGTGTTGATACCTCTGCTGGTAAAACTGCATAACTAACTGCAAAGTGAAACTGACAGCAAGAAAAGAGTTCACAAAAACGTTCGCATAAACATCCATGAAATTCTGGACATGAGAGTGGTTTAATACGGTGGCCCAGAAGGTTGAATAAAATATGAAAGGCATGGCACAAATACTTTGTTTTGTGCCTAATATGTTTTGTTGAACCTTCTGAGCCACCATAGTTTTACAGAATACACTTTGACTAACGTCAGTGAACAGAGGCTGTTCACAAAGCTACATCCCATGGTTAAGATAAGTTATTTATAGCCTTTACATAAAAACAAATGTGAAAACAGCTGAAATACTCTTTAAGGTATTTAAGTACAAATGAAAAATGGCTGTGCCGTGGAAGTCTGACATCAGAAATTATTGTTACATTATACTGACAGACACGCCGGGAAACATGATGTCTTCACTTCCATTTGACATTTATGCTAAATAAAAATGACAGTTTTATATAAAAGCAACTAGTTGCAGCTTTTATGTTTGATTACCAGTTTGATTCCCTTTATGAACGGTTCTGATCCAGAGGTTTCTGCACTGGCTGATGGTGGCGTTGGGGGTTTGTTGCTCCAGATTCCCGCTGATGCCAGGAAACAGACAACAAATGCTGGGACAGTATACCAGACCATCTTGCAGAGGAGCATCACACAGAGCACAGTGATAAACGAGGGTTAGCAGCTTTAATTCATCTCCATTAGCAGATGACACCGTCCGATCCTAATTCAGCCCCGGTTCTCTTTAGAACATCAGAAAATACTGCAGAATGTTTCCAACATTTGATAACAATGATCAGACGAATGTCTCAAAAATAAAGTCAAATAATATTTAGGGAAAGGCTTTTAAAGAACTTGAACTCACCAGCGTCGGAATTTGGGCTGATGTTTTGGCAACTGCAGGAGAGATGAGGTTGGCGAGGAGGATCCCCAGAGGATTTGCTGATGAAGAGGAGGCAGAAGCGTGATTGAAGCTTATTTGGTTTCTGTCCTACTTTCAGAACCAGTGCAGCCATTTGACCACTCTCAGTTCCCAGTTTCAAGCTTCTCAGTGATAAAATGCATGGAAACAGCAGAGTTTAAGAGAAATAAACCTAACCCTAAATATTAGTGTTTTAATTTCTGCTTCCTTCAACAACTCTATCTAATTTTATGTGTGTTTTATTTGAGATTTTTATTTTTTATTATTGTTGTGGTCACATTAATATCTGCTGACTTTCATGTTAACACATTTTGAAACAGTTCCTGTTTTAAACAGCTTGTATTATTACTGTTAAGCAACAGGAAGACTCAAAAACATCTGGGTACACACATTAATCAAACTACACATCATTAGGATTTAGATTTAAAAGTAAGTTTTAAAATACATTCTTATAAACATCAACTAAACCCACAAAACAGACAAAAAGTAGTTTGAAATATGCAGTTTTTTTTGTTTTAAAAAAAATCTAAATAATCTTGTGTTGGTGCAAAATATCTAAACTGCAGTTTATTTTCTTATGAAAAGAAAAATCGGAGGAAGATCATCACAGCTGCCTGGATCCTGGATGTTATTCTTTCCCATCCAAATCTCCTGACCACAGGAGAATGTTGGAATAAAGATGGACAGTAAATGAGAGCTTCTTCATCACTACAACCCGGAGCAGCATCATTACTGAAGCTGGCGCCCCGATGTGTTTTTTTTTCTTGCGCCATCATAGCATCACCCATCAACAAAACACTGAAACCTGGACCCAGGATTTGACCCTAAATATTTATATAATTAAACTTTATTCAGAAGAATTTACTCACTAATAATAAATGAGTGTAAATAAGGCTGAAAGTTACAGAACTGAGGCTTGATCATTAGTTTTATTCCCTTGTATTGTTTTAACCTTTATTTACAACCACGGTTTTCTAATACTTAAAACTTACGGTTTTATTAAGGTTTCAGAAAGATTGTTAAAAGCAACGTTGTGTTAATAATTTATTGTAAAATGAGGCAGAAGTTTCACTCCAGATCAACCTGGTTACAGCACATTTGGTCAGAATTAAAAACAGAAATGTAAAACTTGTTGTTATAATATCTTAAATTTGACCAAAAACCCCAAAGCACAGCTGAATCATTGCCTCAATAAATAAAAAAAATCCCGTTTCTTGAAAATAAATATGAAAGTAATTATGCTTCATCTACACCTCGTTCAAATATTTTTGTAAGTTATCTGATAAAAAATTGTTAGATTTTAGTTTTGTTTAATTTCAGATTCAAATACAGATTTTGCACACCATTTGTTCTTTCATAAAATTAAAGATCAAATTAGATAATTAAAAATGCAATGATAATTAAGTTAAAACAACAACAAAAATAAATATAAACAAGTATGATGTACATAACAGTTTTAAAACCGCTTGAAAAGGTTTTGTAACTTAACCTCTGTAACAAAGCGCAGAAACTACTCAGGAATGTAAAACACATTTTGTTTTTATTTAAATGTGAATAGCAAAAGACTCACACATGGAGGAGAACATGTTGGCTGTAGCTCGCTGGTCCTCAGGGAACCACAGGGCAGCCAGCTTGGTCGGGGTGAAGATGATGAGAGGCTGAGCGATGGCACCAAACGTCTGACCCAACATCACCACCAAGAACTTCTGATGAGAGCCATCAAACCGGGACGCACCGAGGAAACGCAGTAGCGCTCCCAGCATATTCAGCCAGGATCCCAGGATGAGCTGTGATGGTAGAAGGTCAAAGTGCTGCAAAAGTTACATTTCATAGTGGAGACGTGTCGCTCCCACTTCAACAGAAAACCTCTGAGCCAAAACACAACACGTTGTTTCCAGAGTGCGGTTTGTACCGTAGGCCGTAATCCTAACGTGTCCAACATCCAGGTGGTGAGAAAGCTGAGAGGAATAGCGACTACCATGAAGACAACAGACAACCAGTTGATGTCCTCCAGACTGACCTGCAGGTACTGGGCTGACTGGTTTGCTACTGGTGCAAATGTAAGCCATATCTGCAAACACACACACACACACACACACACACACACACACACACACACACACACACACACACACACACACACACACACACACACACACACACACACACACACACACACTTATGAACTAAATAACAGTAACTTTGTAAATACTAATAAAGTCCATCTGACCGTTAACATAATAAAACAAAACAGCATTTGTAATCAGTCACCTGGTGCAGGAAAAGCTCAGCAGCTTCATCATTAAACCAAAACATCATCCAGAACACCTGACTGGCTTTTATAACAGCAATATAGACAACAGCGCACAGCGCTGTGTGGTGGAGGAGTGTATCATTCGCCCATTTACACACATTCACACACTGGTGATGATGAGCTACACTGTAGCTACGGCTGCCCTGGGGCGCACTGACAGAGGTGAGGCTGACAGCAGAGCCGCCACCGGTCCCTCTGACCACCATCAGCAGGCAAGGTGGGTTAAAGCTTCTGTCTGGGAGTATTTCTCTTATCCGATGGCACCATCTAGTGGCTGACAAGCATATCACACTCCTTAAGTTTTATTTAAGATGGCAACTTCACTCTTCTGTTTATAAATGTGCTTCTGTAGTCGACAAACAGAGCTAAAACACCATGTCATGTCATGTTCTCTTTTTTTAAAAATATTTTAGAGACTTACTTGTCAGTGAAAAGTTCATCAACTCTGCATCAGCCAAGGTATTCCTTAAATTTGAAGCAAGTAAGCGGTAGTCTAACGCTAATGGTTAGTTCTGGTCGGCACTCAGTTTCCTATTGCACGGAGCTCTGCGGGGCAGGGGATGTGCTTAGCAAAAAAAAAAAAAGATGTACTGCTTACATTATATCACAGTACATGATAAGATAATCACTTTTACGGATTTCTGACAAATCATACATAATTTCTGAAAGGGGAAAACTGCGGAAAGCTGCTTTAAGTGTCTTGCCCAAGAACACAACTGCAGCATTGCCTGGTAGGAGCCAGGATCTATCCTGCAACCTTCCGATTACTGGACAACCCGTTCTACCTCCTGAGCTACTGCTGCCCAATCACAGATGGGCTCTGAAGACAGCACAGGAAATATATGGATCTGCTTCTTCACACACGGACAGTGTGTGTTCCAATACATGGACAAAAACCTCACAGACACTTTTTTCCAATGTAAACAAATTGTGAAATTGTAACAAGGTCAGCATTAATGCAAGTTAACTCACAGCTGAGGACCTTTCAGGTACAGGTTTGTGATCCAGCTCACATTAATGGAGCGGTTAAAGCAAGTAAGTAAGTTTTATTTATACAGCACTTATAACAGACATAGACAAAGTGCTTCACATAGATCAAAACTAAATAAAACAGTCATAAAATCATAAGGATAGGCTTGAAACTCCACACATTTATTTTGAATTGTCTCAAGTCTTTCAAACATCTTCAAAATTAAAGAAAAAGTTCAGTTCTCTTTGTTAAAATCCAGAAGGATCACTGCGGCCTATGGGATATAAAAAATATGGATACATTAAAAAATAGTGATATTTTGCGTTATGATGATAAATATTTAAAAGCAGTGTAGCTATTTTTTTTATTGAGAATTTACATGAAACAATTTACTGTTTTTATTTTTCATGATGCAACTCAAACTCTGTTGTGATGGAATAACAGGATCTCATGATTACATCTGATGTGAGTTGGAAGCATCTGGTCTAACTTTTCCAATTAAAGAGCAAGTCACCCCCAAATCAACTTTTTTTTCTGATAAACTACATAAATGCATGCCTAATTGTGCTGCAGACACGTGTAGTCAACAGTTTTGCACTTTAGTGCATTTTAGTTCAAATTTAAATTTTCTATCTAAAAGTGTCAGTGTTGTGCCATTGTCAGGTAAAAACTCTGCACTGCATTTGAATTAAAATCTGCCATCGCTATTGGCTAAGAGGTACCTTAGAACGTTAGCTGGTACCATATGATGTCACAATGTCGTCGTGAGCCTGTGTGTGTGTGTATTTGTTAGCGGCTCCGCCCTCTCGGACTGCTAGCCAACAGCATTTGTTGCATTTTTCAAACAGGAAGTGGGAGTGGAGTACTACTCTGGTAGGGGGTGATTTGCTCCTTAAATTCAGTCTTAAAAACTATTATCGTCTAGCTTTTTGTGTCTTTGATTTAAAATAATGTAAAAAAGCAGATAAAACTTTATATGCTCACACTTTCAATTGTTCAAAATATTGCTTAAAAGATAAATCAGTTGATCCTTCAGACTTGAGTTACACTGATTTGCTGTCTTCATGGGTAGAAAACAAGCAGAAATTTACAATGGACCACAACAACAAGCTACTTTAGATTATAGCACTTCTAATCAGTGACCCCACTCATGGAGTTTAATAAATCCTGACCCCTGGGGGACGGTTAATGTCCCCCTGGTTGATGTCTAACTGGCTCATCGGCTGGTATTTGACACTGCATGAATGACCCTCCTCCAGCGGAGCTTCTTTTGTGAGAAAGGACACCGGTTCTCTGAAAACAATCGCTCCCATAGAGAGGAAGAGTCCCACGGGAGAAGATGAGAGGGGAAGAGTGTGGTGGGGGCTTGGATGGCTGACAGCAGCACACGCCTCCAAGCACACTTTGGCTTCACAAAGACAACATCTCCAGGGAGTGATTCAGTTATGAAAACATAGCAGCAAATCACACATCACAGTAAACCACAAAAAGACCAAAATGAGAACATAATCGACACAAACACAGAAAATAAATAAATAAATTTAAGGTCTTAAATTTCTGTATGAATCAAACATTAATGACCCAGTAGTAAAAGTGAAAAACCCTTACATTACGTTTGTTACTAATAATTCATGTAGATTTATCATTATCAGTTGAGTTCAAAAATAACCATTGCAGTAAATAATGAATAAAAAAGATTTGTTATGAGTCAACTTACCATTTGCAGGCACAACTTAATTTTCATCAAAAGGATAAATGAAAGCTTTTATCCTCATTAATTTCCTTAATTTGATGGATTATTAGCATAGGCAGCATGTTAATTCAAAACAAAAAGCCATTTAAGGTCATTTTAAGTATCTCTTGACTGTAAAACATGACACCTGTTAGAGCTCATTAAAACACTCAGAGATCTCTGATCTGGTTAGTTAATGAAGCAGCCTTCAGATCAAGAGCCAAAGTAACCTCAGATCAGCAGAAACCAATACAGCAAATCTCTTACTAAAAAACCTAAAGAACAATTCCTGGAATTCCAGATACACAAGTGACATGTTGCACAAGATCCAGGTCATTTACACCAGCAGACACAGAAGCAGAGCAAACACCGCTTATCCAGATTTCTCAAAGACTAGGAGGATGGAGGAGCAACATCTTCCCTGAGGCTCATGAACTCTGACCCTTAAGATGTTTTCTTTTGTTTGTTTACTACAGTTTAATGTTAGATTTGCCTTTTCTCTACAAACCTTCTAGATCCCTTGCATGATCTTACTTCAAGTTAAAACTCAACTTATGGCTGTTTTCTCAGTGCTTGTTGAACTCTGAGGACAGCTCAAGGCTTGCTTTTATACCAAACCCAATATAGAACAGTTCATTGTTGTTTTTGTGGATATAAAAGTTTTAGAAACTCCTATCCTGATTAAAGACACCTAAGCCCCCTTCAGACAGGCCATGAAAAACGGAAATGTTCCGGACTCTGTCCGTAAGACCTTTGTGTCTGAATACAGACATGTCCCTCCACTGCTATTCTATTTCTTGCTATTGTTACACCAAATTGTATGAAACATGCTCCATAAATAGTATGCTTGGTTCATTAATGACTTTATGCCACTTATTTAACATAATTTATCCCCCATGTGCTAGAATGTCAAGAATAAATCCATCTGAATCTGACGAAGACTGTGACAAACACCAAGCATCTGATTATTGTGTTAATTTGACAACAAAAGTCACTCCACCACATATCAGCTGAGCGTGTCACCTGATCACATCCGGGTCACGTGACCGAAGAATGGGTTCGCTGGTGTTTTTACGGATGTATAAGTTTCGTTATTCAGCAGACAATAAAAACAATAGTTTAAAAAGAGTAATAGCCCCACTGGGCTTCCATACGAAACCGTCCTTCTCTAACCTAACACACTTCATGACATCTGCTAAACTAACAAAAAAAGACTAGCAGAGCGTCTACAGACTCACCGTAGCGTTGGAGCAGTTTAACAAACACAACACCAGCAGGACGAACCACCTTCTTTTGTAAACTTTAAAAGAAAGTTGACTTCCGAGGTCGCTGTTTCCATAAACAGCAGCGTATACATTCTGAGCCGTTGCAGTAACTTCTTGACCGGGTTCCATGACAACTTTCAACGGTCAAACCAGAAAAGGACCAACTCTATTTTAGCAAGTGGAACATACTTTCTTTTTCTTCTCCAAGAGCTCCGGATTAACCAGCCCCACGAAGGAATTTAGGGGTAAGCTTTAAACTACAAATCACACCAACCAGCCCGGTGTGAAACGGGATTTCCGACTCAAGTACAGTAAAACGGGCGGAGCTGCGGGTGTAGGACCAATCACAGCCATGAAGTTGGAAGAAGGTGTTGCGCTAAAATGTGTCTCCTCGTCTAGATCTGTTCCTCGCCACCTCACGGTGGGATATTAGGGGAAATAGTGATATTAAATATTTAACAGCCAGGAAAAAAAAAAACACTCAATGGCAGAAAATCACCTGTAAAAGATGATTTAGTCTGAGCTTAGCAGAAAAAGCAAGGTAAATACATTATTTCACTTTCTTTCTGAGATTTTTCTTTTGTGTAAAATCATGTAAATTTTAGCACCCCATACAGAATCGGGAATTTATGACAACTTATCACCAACAATTAAGAGCAAGTCACATCAAAATCAACTTTTTTAGCTGATAACTAGCATAAACGAGCGTCTAATAGTGTTGTAGACATGTGTAGTTATTATTTTTGCATTTTGTTACATTTTCTTTGAAAACTCTAAATTCTGTCTAAAAACGTCGATCTAGCGCCATCTTCAGCTCAAAGTATAGAACACGTTTATTTTGAGTCAGGTTTAGTCCATGGCTAACGAGAACAATGCTACGTATTTCAGAAAAGTACTACGTAGCAGCTCTGTGGCTGTAGGTTATAAAAGCACCGCTATCTCAACCAGCCTTGTAGTCGAGGCTCGGACTAGCCGCAAGTGAGTTGCGCTGTAGTCAGCATTAGCATTGTGTCAGAGTCCCAGCAAAGCTTCTATCTATTTAGTTCTAGTAACTTGCGGTGTTGGGAAAGTTACCTCAAAACTGTAATGCATTATTTATTACGTGTTACCCTCATTTTAAAGTAATTCATTACATTACAATATTACTGATTTTAAAATGTAAGGCATTACACTACGTTTGCATTACTTTCACCAAAACAACTTCAATATGAATCTGGTAATCTGACGCTCAGTGAGCTCATGATATATATGTGGAAAGTGATGTGGTATCTATTCAATAAATATATTATTCATTATACTTAATTAATATTAAGTTGTAAAATCAGCT